GAAGCAACCGCAGCAATGCATCTGTCTACTTTATGGATCATTTGTTCCCTTTATTCATTTGTCTTTCTTGGGGGACTGTTTTCTCACTTTTACTGCCCATGGCACATATACAAGTGGTCAACTTAGGTTGCTTATTTCAACTATTTTTTAAATTTAAGATGTATTTATAAACTGCTTTTCCATTTTCTTTGGTCAAATTATCCTTTTAAAGCTGGAAAAGGGATGTTCTGAGTAAAGGTAAGGTGTAAATAAATTTGGCTGAACTCATTTGGCCTAAATATTTCCAACTATCACAACTATAAACTGAAACTGCCGGCCTCCTAGGCGTTACTGAGTTTAGTGTTACAGTGCTTTAAGTTTATGTACACGGCCATCCCCTCGGGAAGCATATGTTGTTACTGGGGCTAGGTCCAGGTGGGTTTCTCCATCGGATGCTGCACTCTAACCAGAACTCTACTCCACTCTGACCGTAGGCTCTGTTCCTGGATCAGGTTTCCCATAGTACAGAATAAAATCCCAAACCCTGGAGCTGGCATACAGAGCCTTAGGTGATTTGGCTTCTAAATATCTCTCCCAGCCTGAGTTCACAGGCCACTGTGCTTCTTGAAATTCCTGGAAACTGCTGTCCTATCCTCCTTCACCTATGAGGGCCTTAGTGTCTGCTGCTGTGCTAAGAGCACTGCTGCCTGTTCCGTTCACCTGCACCATTCTTACCCTCTTTCCTGTGTCAGATGGAGTAACACTTCCTCAGGAAGCCTTTCCTGACCCATAGAGATCTGCTGGAACATTCTCATAGTTCCTGTACTTTCTCTCACAGCCTTCATCACCACGGTGACTGTTTGTTACTTTCACATCAGTATTCCTTGCTAGGCTGTAATCTGAACAAGACAAGGAGCTATAGACAATGTGTATCGTGTTCCCAGAACCCGATACTGTAGTTTGTGCTTCTAGCTAGATTAAAAAAAAAAAAAAAAAAGGGAGGGTGGAGGGAGGGTTGTTTCATTATTCTGACTAGCTTGATAATCTGAATAGTTTTGTTGTAATCTGCCATGTCTGTCTATATATCAATTTGAGATATGGCAAATTATAGTTATAATTTGCTAATGGATTTGTTTCAGATATCCATTTAAAAGGCAGCTTTTGCTGTATGTGACTTAATTGCATTAAAAGAAAACAATGACTATTTTTTAGTTATGCTTTCCTATCAACCTCTACTCAGAGAAGCCTGTGTTCCTTCTACCATCCCTCAAGTGCTTCAGTCTAGTGTGTAGAAAGTTCTCTTTTAAACTATTATATGATTGAGCATGTTCTTACAGAATGATCAGAAGCATCTGGGAAAGGTGGAAGTAAAAAAAAAAAAAAAAAAAAAAAATCCTCACCAGAAAAGTCAGCTTAATGCTCGCCCTTCAGAGTGGCCCATTATCAACATTTCATAGTGGGTTTCTTTATTTCCAGGTCCCTAAAGAATGAGTAATAAATTATGACCTGAACTAAACAAGTCACACTTGGCTCCAAAATGAAATTTTCCTACTTCTACTTTCTAGTCCCCAAGGTGGGAAGAGGAAATCCTGGTCACAGCCAAAGAAGTCATAGTTTTGGCTCTAACATACATTTTCCTGTCCCTCTAAAAGCCAGGCTCTGCTAGCGAGACAGTAAAGTCTTAGGTCAGTATTTTAAGCTGTATTTAAAATTTTACTTCCATAATCTTCCTTAAACTTAAGAAAAATTAGTATCATAAAATTAATGTCATTGACTTCTTTTCTTTACTCAAACCTTTTTTTTTCAGACATGGACCTGAACTTTTAAAAATGTGAATTCAAATGAAAGACAGAAAACAATGCAGAGGTTAATCTGATCCATTTCTATTTGAATACTGAAACTGTTTTCACCTATAGCTTCCATTCATTTCTGTGTGACAGACAGTATTACAAAACTATAAAGTTCTAGTTTAAAGTCTAGCGAATCTGAAGTAGTTTTGGATGATATGACTATGAAGGGTCACATTTATGCATTCTTTTGAATGACAGCAGACAAGCATAGAGCAAGGAGCTGGGTTATGGAACAACCAGACTCTTGACACTGTGTGGCAAAAGAAGGGAAGTTAATCCCAAGATTGAAAAGATCCTGTCTGAGGTAACTGGTTCAAGAAAGCATCTTATAGACCTTCTGGGAGAGAACCTCCAAGATGGCTATACAGAAGCAGCTCCGAGTAGTTTCTAGGAAACTAAAGTGGCTCCTGAGTTCTAAGGAATCTCCATTCTTTAGCCACAAGATACTGAATTTTGCCAATTAACCTGCATGAGCTCAGAAGCAAATCCCAAACAGCTGAGAATACAGTTTATGGAACCCCAAGAAGACTCAGCTAAGCAACAAGCAATGGGCCTAAAAAATGTGAACAGAAACCTCCCAAACTGTAAGGTAAAACAAGATTTTTATCCTTAGAAGTTGTTTATCATAATGACAGAAAGCTGATTAACAGAGAAAGAAAGTATTAACAACTCAAGTGTTGTGTAAGAGCAAGGCCCAGAATTATTATCTGTTGGAGTGAGGGTAGAAATAAATTAAGAGAAATAAAAGATTTTTTCTTATAAACGTTTTTTTAACTTTAAGAATTTTTTTAAAAACTAGCAAAGAATAATAAAACAAATACTTCCATGCTTATTATTTTTTGAAACTTTTTTTTTTTACTGAAAATTATGGAAAGCATAAGGAACCTTTTGATTATTTCTTTTGCTTCTTAAATGTAATGAGTAATGTAAATCTGACATGAATACTTTGGGACTTCTCTATTTTGTAAGTATAATACTCAGTGTACTTAGTTTATTAGCCATAAAGTTTGTCATCTTTTCCATTTCTGAAAAAAAAAAAAAATGTGTGATGTTCCAAGACTTAGAGTATGAGCAAAAATAGAATCTGAAGAGGAAATATATTTAAGATGCTGGAAGAATATGTCACGTACAAGATGGAAGAGGCCGTCCACACGTAAGAAAGTCCATTCACACACAGCACTGCAGGCTGGAGTAAAATGACAGGACATCCTCGGAAGGAGGCAAACACAGCATGGGCCAACGGCAGAGCGGGACTTCCGCAGAATTCTGCCTGAAAGCTGTTGATGGTGACCCCAGGGTGGTCCAGACCACACGTCACCGCCACAGCAGCTGGCTGGGCAGAACCAGCTATTTCAGAAGAGCAGACACAGCCTGGCAGGCTGGCAGCAGTGACACTGGTAGCTGCAGACAGTCGGCAGAAGCTGTCGTGGCCAGCAAACTCTAGAAGGAGTAGACTGTGAGTCACTGGATGACTTACCCTCCTGAGAGAGCAGAAATTCTGAAGAAGTTCAGAGGGTTTTGGAAGACTAGGAACTGATGAAAGAACTAATTTTTATTTATTGTTAATGTTACCCAAAGACTGCTCTACACTAGAGAAGTAAAAGAAGCATATATGGTTTTTAGAGCTTACTAACATTAGCAATAATTAAGATGACTATGCTATTGAAAGGACTCCTATTTGGCATGATATCTTAGTTGCCTGTACCCTGGGAATAAGGATGTAGATCATACTCATCAGGCCAGCTCAGTGGCCAGGAAATGCCAAGTCTTGTTCTCACATTGCTAGCTCCTTCACATGCCTGTGAAAACAAAAGAACACTCTCCCTCATAGATGCTAATGCCCACTGTGGTGCTGACTTGGCTAATTTGAGGGATGCCTAGGAAACAGGTCATTGTATTTCTAGGTATTAGTTGTGGGTCAGCAAGTGCAGTGGGGAAGTTTAGCAAGTTTAGCTGTGGGCCACAAAGGAGAAGGTAGAAGAGAGACACCTCTCTGCTGTCCCTCTGCAGCTGGCACATTTCTCTATTCCTGTTGCCTTTGGATGTCAGACTGCAAGTCCTTTGGCCTCTGGACCCCAGAACTTGCAGGGACCATCCTAGGGTGGGGGATGGTTGGCCTTTGACCTCAGATGGGGCTATATCGTCGACACCTGTAATTGTAAGTCTTCAGCTGCACGAACTGAGCCATGCAGTCAACTTGCATTTATCCTCCGTGGAAGTTTTCTGCAGCCAGGCGGCTGAATAGGAACAGATGCATGCAAGTATGTATGTGTGTACAAACTTGAAGACTCACACGAACATTCTTTCATCAATCGTTTTCACTTCTCTGGAGACGCTTAATACATCCCCTTAGTACTTACTACTAAAAACAAACTTAGAATAAAGCTTAGAAAACAGTGACAATGAAACAAAACTTTAATCTTCCTAATGCTATGACCCTTTAATACAGTTCTTCATGTTGTGGGGACCCCCAACCAAAAAATTACTTTCACTGCTCCTTCATAACTGTAATCTTGCTACTGCAATGATGGGAATGACTCTTCTATTTAGACCAACAATGAAATTTGAGTAAAACAGAGCGAACATTTTTCAGGGCGTAGATGCCAAACAATACAAGCCTCACTCAGGAGATTGGGGAATTCATTAGGTGGAGCTCACTGTTCCCAGCTCCCTGTCTGAGCCGTTCTCTGCCTATAACACACATGCTCTGAGGTACAAATCCAGTGCAGTGGTCCCGGTGAGCTCAAGTAGAAGACGCTGGAAGAGATTTGAAGCAGCTGAAACCAGGAGATCTACAGGGCAATAGAGAGCCAGAGAAAGAAAAGACCCTGCAATCTCTAGGGGAGCCCATGAATGTCTTGCTAAGAGCTTGATGAAACACAAATCGTGGGCCTCTCTCCAGCACTGTTTTTGACTCAGAAAATTCTGAAAGAGATGGGAGTTAGGGGGTGGCTGTGTTTTCAAGTTCACAAGTGATACTGATGCTCCTGATCAGGGGCACACTCTCAAAATCACCTTTGTTGTGCAAAACAGTGTGCTAAAAGTAAACGTTTCCTACTAAAACACCCATTCAGATTCTCCAGGGATGTAAATATCTGAGGATGTAAGAAAAACATATAATTAACTACACAGAGCATACAGACAGAGCGTCTCAAGGCTTTGATGACTTACCTGAAGATCCTTCACATTTGGAAAAGGAATTCCTACTGTTATGACAGCTCGGGCGTTATCATCAGAGAAATCCAGACCCTCGCTCACTTTGCCGCGACACACTGCTATGAGAAGGGCTCCATCTTAGGCAACAGAAATCAGACATCTTAGAAAGTGCACTCAAAATTCTTTCCAAGCACCTACTGTGGTCACAAGCCTTTTTAGTCCACTTAAAGCAACCATGAATTGCTTAATAAGACACAGTTTTTAAATCTCATTATCTTTCAATAAAAAAAATAAGATTAGATGAAAATGGTAGCAAATCAATTTACAACCTGTGCATTTTTAAAGTTACTTATAGCCAGGTGTATAATCTTTAATCCTTTAATCCCAGTACTTGGGAAGCAGAGGCAGGCAGATCTCTGTGAGTTCATGGCTAGCTAGGTCTGCAAACTACAAAGCAAATTCCAGACAGCCAGGGTTGTTACACAGAGAAGCCCTGGCTAGAAAACTCAAAATAAGGGCTGGAGAGATGGCTCAGCGGTTAAGAGCACTGGCTGTTCTTCCAGAGGTCATGAGTTCAATTCCCAGCAACCACATGGTGGCTCACAACCATCTATAATGAGATCTAGTGTCCTCTTCTGGCGTGCAGGCAGAGCACTGTATATGTAATTAATAAAAATAAAAAAGGCTGCTCTTAAAAAAAAAAAACTCAAAATAAAATAATTATTTATACACAGCATAGAAGCAGCAGCAAATGTTAACTAAAAACACTGAAATCCAATTGTAATTTTTACCAGCAAAAATACTGCCTCCTCTTTGCAGGAATCCTCCTGCCTCAGTCTCTGAAGTACTGGGATCACAGGCATGTGGCAACACTGTGCCTGGAGTTTTTGTTTCTGGTTTGTTTTGAGACAGGATGTCAGTATGTAAACCATACTGGCCTTGAACTCTCAATCCTCCTATCCCTTTGTTCCTCCAAAACTGAGGTTATAGGCTCCCATACTTGGCTATAATCTTGTCATTAAATGTATTTATACTTGCTGCCTTGCAGAGAACTCAGGTTCAGTTTCTAGCACTTACAGGTAACCCAATTCCTTTTCCAGAGGATTCGATGCCCTCTTCTGACCTCTTTGGGCACTTGTACACCTGTGGTGTACACATATAAACTCAGGTCTACATACATAAAATCATAAAATATATCTTTAAAAACTTATTAACAGCAGCAAGACATGGTGGCGCACACCTTTAATCCCAATACTCTGGAAGCAGAGCCAGGCGGATCTCTGAGTTCCAGGCCAGCCTGGTTTACAGAGTAAGTTCCAGGGCAGCCAGGGCTACACAGAGAAACCCTGTCTCAAAAAAACAAACGCCCCCCACCAAACAACAACAAAACTTATTAACAATTATGTTACAGTAGCCTCATTGTTGCATTATTCCTAATTACTGCTATTAGCTTTCATATCAAACTCTTCAATGTGCAAATTTTGTCCTCAGCTACTTTCTGTTGTTTGAGACAGGATCTGCAGCCAGCTTGGCCTCAGTGTGCAAGCTTCCTTCCTCCATCTTTTGGATGCAGAGATTACAGTCAAACACCACCACTCCTAGTGTTCTGAGAACCTAAGTCTAAAGTTTAACCAGGAGGCAGAGTTAGGTGGCTCTCTCTGAGTTTGAGGCCAGCCTGGTCTACATAGTGAGACCCTGTCTCAAACAACAACACAAACAAAACAAAGTTAAAACCCAAAACAACAAACCTCCTCAGTTTTCCTTATTTGGTATTCTATTTGCACAAACTACATTACCTGTGTAAAGGCTCCAGATCTTACTTTGTCAGTGAAGAAGCCTTCCCTATCTTTTCTTCTTACACAAAATGATTCAGGTAATATAAGGTAAAATGTGACTTAGTATCTGAATGCATATGTTCTTCTTTTTTTTTTTTTACACCTACTTTCTTTTTGCCTAAGATTATAAAATATAATTTTTCCCAAGTACAATTCAATTTTAAAGATAATATAAATGACATTTTAATGGCACCAACTTCTCCTGGCTTTAAAATGTAAATAGCCCTTTCCCTGCCATGAAATTATTTCCAGTTACCCTTTTCTCCTTTGAACTTGATGGCATCATAGTACACCTGCAACAATTCGTCAAAATCAGTTTTTTCTCCTCCTTGGGGTTCTGCAATAACTGTCTTCACTGACTCCAAACTATGCCATAAGCCAGTAAAAACCCAACGGTCTCTTAATTTCTCTAATAGCTAAAAAGAGATGGAGAAAATTAATTCTGCAGTCTAGCTGAACAAAGACCTTTATATGTAAATTATAACTGCTAGAATACAAAAAAATCAAATTCAACCTGTATCATAATCAACACACATTCTAATAATGAGTTGTTAGATTAAAAATAAGTAAGAGTCAATGAAAAGCCCAACCATAAAATAATCTTTAAAACATGGGTGAGAGAGGAATACAATAAAATGTGTGCAGTCTTTAAATATGAATGATAAGAACATCTACAACTTAATGTGTGCTACGAAGGAAGAGTAATACTTGGAAATACATCAATAACTTGAGTATATTGTTATTCTTAAAAATGGAACATTTCACAAGTTAGGCATTATTTTCAATATGGTAGAAAATGAAATACTGCAAAAGCAAACAAGTACAATGAAGGGCCAAGTAGATGGAAAGGGCAAAAGCCAGTTGTAGAGACAATAATTTAAAGTGAATTGTTTTACCCACTTAAGTGTCATAAATTCTACTGCACTTTGAAATAGTGACTATAATGTAACTACATACTATACATACCAAGAAACCAATTGTAATTCTCTAATGAACAAAACCTCATCAATTTTCATGACATAATTTATTGTTATTATAAATAAAATTTAAAAGAATATAAACCAAATTCTTTATCAATGTTATTTACTCAATGATCAGGGTTGATCAATAACTTAAATTCCCCATTACATTATGTTATGTTAAAAACTATAGGATTGTCATCTAAAAGTATTTTCTATTTGACATGTCTCATAAGTTAGCTGCTAAAATTTGATTTTTGAATATGTACTACTTTGAAATGAAAGTCTTGTGTTCAGAATTAGGAAGTATAAAAACCCTGTTGACAAATTCAGAGAAACAGTGTATATGGGAAGGTCAAAATGGGTCTTTAATTGGATATAAAAAGATTGATATTAAAGAAAAATCAATGAAATACAGAACAGCACTAAATTACTTAAGTATCTCTGCTTAGTAACTAGTATGGAACTGGATAAAAGTATCACCTCTTGCATAAATGGAACCAGAGGAAATGACTGACAAGTTTCTATAACTACTGACATTTACTGGAATTTAATACAATAATATAGCATTTTCTTTCAATCCGAAAACAAAGATAATATCTCATCGTTGATTTCTTGACTCAGCGATAACAATACCAAACTTCAGGTCATACAAGTTCTAAGCTCCTGACCAAACTCACTGCACTCGGGCAAGACATTTCCACGTGATGCACAGTAGATTAGAAGAGACATACTTAAAAAGCAAAGTTTAAGAAATAACAAAAAAGGAGCCAATGCATGATTTCCACTGAAGATTTTTCACAGTATAAACAAACAATTCACTCGGGTCTGGTAGAGGCTGAGGCAAGAAGGTGGTGAGTCAAACAAGGCAACTTAGTGCAACCCTGTCTCAAAATAAAAACTAAGAAAGCACTGGGGAAAGCCCCAGAGGTAGAGTTTACCTGCCATGTTACAAGACCCAGCATCAACCTCTCATACCACAAGACAAAACAAGAGAGTGGTGTTAAAAACTTGTCTGAAAAATCAGCTGCGGAGCTCACCGATACACTGGAGTTTATTGATTTCACTTGACTTTTAAACAAAATTGTCAGTGTATTCTAATCACATCACTAGGACTGTAATTCAGAGACTAGTGAGAGAGAAAAAAAAAAAAAAAGAACACAAAACAGATCTCATCTCTCCAGTTTGCATTAAAGCGTTAAAACTTCATTGTTAGTGAAAATTTTATAACTTGAACACACTGTTTACCTTCTACAAAAATTAATCTTGAGCTGGTGAGGTGGCTGAGAGGGTAAAGGTGCTTCCTGTGCAAGCCTGACAGCCTCAACTCAACCCCCAGAAGCCAGGATGGAAGGAGAGAGCTGACTCCCACAGTTGTCTCCGGTTTCCATACACTTACTGTGGTCTAGGCATGCTAGCACACATCACACACAAATATCGCATTAAACACACACGTGCACATATCACGCACGGAATAAAACATACACGCAGCACATCACACGCATCTATTCTACATCACACTCACACAGCATATCATATACACACCACACACAAAATACACAGCATATTACACACCAACACTTCATAAAATCTTAAAAAGGAAATAGCACTCAAATTTGTTTTAATTAACAGGAAGACCTTTTTTTTTTTTTAACTCTCTAAACACAAACACAAATAAGAAGTTATTATACTATCTTTTGTTTTCCAGGTTGGGGTAAAAAAAAAAAAAAAAGAAGAAGAGAGAAACAAACAAAAGATTGTAGAGAGATAGAAAATGAGAAAATAGTATTAGCATTCTACTTTAGCAGTTCTTTGGATTTAAGGTTATAAACAGGATCAAATTGACAGACTGGAAAAAGATCCTCTTAAGAAGTGGTAAGCATTTACACAATCCATACCAAACTAAACAGACAAAACTATCACAAAGACAAAATAAAAAACTCTGTAGCAATAATAGGCCAATTGGCCAGGAAAATGCAATGTACACATTTATATAAGCCAAGTATTTCAAGAGAATATTGACAGAATGTATAACAACATGGTAACAGTAGGAGACTGAAATACCCAAGCTTCAACAAATCAATAAGATATACAGACAGAGGATCAATAAGGAAGTAGAAAACCTTAACCCACTGTCTGGAAATCATAATATATATATATATATATATATATATATATATATATCATATATATTAGCATATATATATGCTAATTCTTCTGAAATGTATACAACCATTATGTGTTAGGTCACAAAACAAATCTTAATCAATTTAACTAGAGTCAGCAAGGCGGTTCAGCAGATAAACACACTTGCCTCTGAGCCCAGTGACTTAGATTCCATTGCACGGCAGAAAGAACTGTTTCCTCAAAGTTGTTCTGTCTGTGTCTCTCTCTCCCTGCCCCCCAACTACCTCCCTCTCTCTCTCACACAGACATGCAAATTACAAGTCTGAAATGACATCACATGTCTTTTCCAACCACAACAGAATGAGACTGGAATTCAACAGAAAACTAAGGATTTAGAAAGGTGTCAAAATAAAACAATATACTTCTGAGCAGTGAGCATGAGTCAAAAGAAATTAAAAAGAAACTTCCGAGATTATATTGAAATCAACAAAAATGAAACACAACACACCAAAGTAAGGAGTACAACAGAAGGCTACGAAGGAAGAGGTGCACAGGAGACCCAAACGCCTGCATTAACGAGAAATATGAGCCTTCTCGGCAGTGCAGCCCTGAAGTCCTTGGCTGCTTGGGTGGCTGAGGCAGGAGGATGGCAAGTTCAACGTCTGCCTGCGCTACACAGTGAGACTGTCTCAAGATAAGTTTAAAACATACTCTACTCAATGGCAGGACACTTACCCAGCATGCCCAGAGCCCTGTGTTTGCTACTGCTACTATTGCATTACAGAATAACACTGTTAGCAAAGCAAAGAAAATAAAAGATTAGAACAGAAATAAAAGAGGAGAGGAAAATGTTGAGTAAATGAACAAAAATGAGAGCTGGCTTATAAAAAGATCACCAATACTGGCTAACTGAATAAGGAAAAAAGATGTAAGAAACACTTAAAAACCACATAAGCATATATGAATCCAAAAGAGTGGATTATAAAACTAAACATGTCGAGTAAAAAAATTAATAATCTGATCTCACTTAAGGATGTAAAAGAAGTCCTATTTAAGAAAAACCATCAGATTTTACATTTGTGTGTGCACATATGCACAAGCATGCAGGTGCCGTGGTGCACAGGTAGAAGTAGGAGGACAACCGGCATGAGTTGATCCTCTCCTTACACCATGTGTGTTCTAAGTCTTCAACTTAGGTTGTCAGGCTTGGTGACAAGTCCTTCTATCTGCTGAGCCATTTCGCTGGCCACTATATATTCATTTTAAGAGACAAAACTGGGGCTGGAATGCGGATGACTCGGAGATTAAGAGCACTGGCTGCTCTTCTGGAGGATTCAGGTTCAATTCCCAGCACCCATATGGCAACTCACAGCCATCTGTAACTCCTGTTCCAAATCTTGTTCCTGACTCCCTTCTCTGGTCTCTTAGGGCACTAGGCATGGACACAAATACACACACATACAAAATAGCCAAACATAAAAACATGTAACATTTAGAAAAGAAAAAGAAAAGTCCCAATAAGAAAACCTACCTTTTATCACTGTCCATTAAGCCACTAGCAAACCCTGCCAGACCCTTCAAATGATACCTAGACTTTAAACATTCCTCATTAGCTTTGTTGCTACCATGTCCCCTAAGTCACCAATCATCTGTCACCCTAGTTCACTAAATTTTGCTACATTGTCGCCTTGTTTCTTCCTATGTCTTCTGATATTCCCCCACCCCTTCCCCCATCCAGTATAATCCTTTAAAAATGAGGCGTGGGCTGGGCATGTAGCTCAGGTGGTAGGGTGCTTATCTAGCATGCACAAAGATATGAGTTCTATCCCCAGTAAAGCATAAACCAAAAATAGTGGAGCACACCTGTAATCCAAATACCCAGGAGGTGGAGGCACAGGAAGGTCTGAAGTTCAAGGTCATCCTTAGCTATAAAACAGTTCAAAGCCAGCTATGACACAGGAGACTGCTTCAAATGGAATAATATCGAAACCTAAGTCGAAGCCTCCAAAGGGTTCCATGGCACTTAGATCAAACCCAAACCCTGCTGCACTATGGTTGTACCCTGGCTCCTTCTCGGACCTCTCGCCCTCTGTTCATCTCACACACTGCCACAGGCCTTTCCACCTGAATCCCCCCAGCAATCAAAACTGTTTCCTTCCTTCCCTCCTTCAGACCTTTGCTCAGCGTCACCTTCTCAAACAGACTCCCAAATCATCCTATCAGAACTATAAACCACCTTTTTATAGCCATAGACTTTTCCCCCTTCTCATATGGTTTTCTACAAAAATATATCAGATCCCTTGAGCTGCTATCACAAAACGTCACAGACT